GCTGGATATACGCCGTCATGGTGATCCTATGTGGCAACCAAATACAGAAAGTAGCGGTGACGATCAAAGTGAAACAGATAATGATGATCATACAAATGCAATCCACTCTTGTTCGAGGAAAACTATCAGGTCTAGTAAACGGGCAGAAGAGATAACTCCAGCATATAACTCTAATGAACAGAATGAAAATACTGTACAAACTAATCATGGTGATTCAATTCAACACAGTGCTGCTGGTGGTAAAATTGAACTTAGTCTTATGCATTTCCATCTTACTAACCCATCTTGGCGACTTCCACCTGATGGTTTGGCTTATCTGAAATCAATCAGAAATCAAGCATTATTGGACCTACAACAACAACAGCAGCATTTAGAGCAATTCCAAGATAGTTGCAAAAATAATACTCAAACTTCGAAAATTACTTCACAACCAACCTCGGGAATGTTCTCAACTCTGTATGGAACACAAGAAAGTGCAATGACTAGTATATATCGAAGTACACACCCTCACCTTCCCAATGCACCATGTATTGAAAGTTCAGGTGTCCTGAAAAATGTTTCTCATTTACCAGGTTCTGGACTACTATCTGAAAATACCTATGGTATTGTAGGAGCTATGGCTGAATCTATGAGAAGTTCAGGATCCCAGTCAATGTATCGTTCCGGTTCCAATCTCCGTGAACCTCAAGTCCCAGAACCTAATGTAAGAAGGGTTTCTCATAGTGATAGTGGTACTAATACATTACCATCATGTACCAATTACAACGTTGCAAAGATTTCTCCAGAAACTAATGTGGTGTCACAGAAACCTAATTCAGAAATGATTAGATCTCAGCTTGGTCCAGCCGTATTTAATTATTCTATGCTTGATGGACCTACGCCCATAACCATGAGCTTGATGGCAGCATCAGCACTGCATTCTGCTGATAACATGGGTCTTCCTTTTTACCAACCTTATAATTCGCAGATCGAGGATGGTTTAAGCCAGCATACCGGTTTTAATAACAGCCTCATTGGAAGTGTAGGAGGCCGCCGCTGCACAGTAACTGACGTACTAACAGCAGACATGTCAGTAAGTGCTCTTTATATTCACGAGATTTTCCATAGAAGACGACAACAACGACAGAACCACGATTCAAGTCGGGGCTATAGTTCGCAGCGTGGTATGACAGGTAGTACTCCTGGTGCCGATCCCGGAAACAATCAAACTTTTCCCTCTACACAGTCATCAAACCCACTAGGTGTAGGTGTTTACTCTACATCTGGATACTTACCTAGTTATCAGTTGCCACATGTTTCATTTGCTCCGACTACATTCACTAGTAACTCAGCCACTCTACCAGAATCAAGAAATATAGTTGAACGTGGTTCTCTTTATCCCACCTCACCATCTTGTGAGCCTGGCATAATTAGAACGCCTTCAGATGGACGCAGAATACCTTCGGCACATTTTACAGATGTCACAGAAGAAGATGATGAAAATGTTGGGACGCCTAGATCGTGTAGAGATACAAACGTTTCTGCCTATATAACAGGAAATGAGTCACATATAATTCGTTATCCAAGTGGTCAAATAACTACAGGGGGTGGTATCATTACTCTGTCAGGTAGTCCATCGGTACGACCTCAGCATGGTCTGTCATACCAAAATATACAACAAACAAGTGATCCAATTTGGGTTCAGTTCCTAATATTGACAGTGATCCAGTATGGCCTGATTTGCCTCCAACTAATTGTTAATCTTATTATTATACACACAGGTCGGTGTTTGGGTGTTCAACTGTGTAAAGTGGTAAATGGACATAGTTTTAACTTTATCTCACCTACCCAATCACTAATAGTAAGAATAACAATGAAGTGAATCACCATTAATTTATTTCAAATAAGTTTTTAAACACTCAGTAGCACATGCATCCATTCATATTTCTTTACTTTTTATTTGCTTGGTTACCCTAGCTAAGGTGTATTTCAACCTATCCAACTACCAAATTAAAATTACATCCACATTAGATTGAACATATTTTTGCTAAATCCCTTAAACTTGCTTTATTAATTATGTTGACATCACTTCACTTCCTTTTTTGATGCAGCTATATATATGAGGTGGCTTTCGGTAACTCAATAATAGTTTAAATGTTGTTAATTGTTTTTATTTGTAATCCCTATGCAATTTGTTAAACTCTTGTAAATAGGTTTATATTTTACCAAGAACGGAAACTCCCATAGTGTTTTCTTTTCGTATATTTTTGATTATTTAATGGTCCCAGTCATTTTTCCTAATCTAAATTAATAAAATACAACCCAGCACAACAAGTGTATTGGTTCATTTCGACATATTTTGAAAAAAACTGCAAAATTAATTATGAGAAACTGATCTGTTAGTTGTATGATTTAGAGCTCGATAAATAGTGAATCCCTATAATGATGTCAGTCTCAAATAATCCGCTTCTATTGTCGTACGAGTCTCTATGAGTACTTTTTTCAGTTTATAATGTTAAAGAAAATATGCAACCACGTTATGAGTTGTATAACGGCTAAGTCAAACTTTTGGATTTCCTCATAGTTTACAACTGTTGAAACAAGCACTAGGCTTCTACGCAAGAGGTATGCTTATGTGTAACATATTTTAAATATTTCATTTCATTTAATGACCTACTAAATTACATAAAAACTACTTTTCACCGAGTTATCTTGACTCAGATATATCAATTGGAAAGCCTCGTTTATTATAAGTATAACTAGTTTTTCTGTCGCAATGAATCTGCATTAATACGAAAAATGCATGTTATTTTCATTTATTTTCACGTAGCCATCTCACTCAGCTAAAATTAACATGTTAATAACGTAAATGGTAAACTCAGTCGACAACTTTCTTCTTAGTATGTGCTTGTTCATGTTTTATTCGCTACCAGAAGTAATATCCATAAGTTTCTAAAAATATATTCTAAAGGATTGCCTCATTATTGAGAAACTGTTTTACAAGTACTACTGGCCTTAGTTTTTCGATGTAAAATCACCATATTTCTCCATATTTTAGGAGATATACCTGCACTCTGAATTATTGTCCAGTTATGTAGCCAAGCTATTCAAAGAAATTTAAATATTCCTCCCGTAAACCATCAGGGTACAATGAATAAGACAATATATAGGCTTAGCACTTCGAGTTATTATGCATGTGTTAGTACACTTCGCAACATTAAAAAAGCAATGACTCAGCAACCGTAACACACTTCACGACCACTTGAGTTATAGAAAGCTCTGAACATCAAGCGATCTACTCTTATTGTACAAAAACTGTATGTCATCTCGAAATGAGTAGTTCCACCACACGCGAAGGTATTTTAAATACATGTGTGCTCAAGTGTGTGTTTTCCATCCATCCTCAACAAGCATGTTTTAAACACAATCCGATTTTAATGTTGAAAATGAATAATTACGAAAAAACTGGATCATGTCATCTCAAAATAAATGTTCAATCAGTAAGTTAGAATGATAAAACCACGTCTCGCAAGTATAGGATGTATGTCGGATTATTTCCCACGATGCACCAACCCCTATGTTGTCTTAACCTTTTTGTATAACATAATTATTCTAAATAAAAGATCTAAATCCTCGAAACTGAAAGCAAACATACCCGCCTCTGACAGGATTATCTAAACGAATTATAACAATGAACTTATTTATTGCTACTACTCACTGTCGTTAGCTCAGATTTTAGCATTATATTGATGTGTGATGGTGAAGGTAACATGTGATTGGTCGTTGAACGTGGACAAACAGCTATTACCTACGGACTATTAAATATTTGATTTTTCTTCTGATCGTTGGTTTCTATTCTGGACTCACTGTATGTGACTGATTGTAATTGTATTGAATAAAGTATTCTCTGGTGTTAATCTGGTTCTCTGTTTAGGTCGCGAATCCTGGTTCTGATATAACGTGATTAGTCTTATTAACGTATTGTCGTAATATACATACGAAAAAAGAATATTGTAAACCATCCCTTATATCATATGTTCGAGTGAATACTTAGGAATCACATGTTTCATCGACACTCGAGTCAGACACTTATACGTAATCTCCCAGCTGAAAAAGTGGAATGCCATCTTGATGTGGAAAAATATGGTCCATGTAGAGGGCACGAAGCTGTGCTCACAGAACAATAATCTGACTGATAACATCTGAAACTTGCATAGTTTCCTCAAACTTATATAAACTTCTAGATATCTGACAAGTGTGAATCCTAAGCATTTCGAAACCTACAGGCAGAGCCTAAGGCCCAGTAACTAACACAGGAATGGCGCTAAACCCTCCAACAGGACCAAAGTAACTCAATACTCTCATAACTACCAACCTAGCTTACTTAACCTTATTTCGAAACCAAGTGGTAGCTCTCTCTTCTGATGGTCACTAGTAGTAATGTGATTTAAATGAGTTAAGACATTACTTGGTTTCGGTTGCTACTACTTCCTTGTGTTTAAAGTTGACGCTGTCTGAGAAGAAATGATTATCTAGGCGAACATCACGAGATGGTCTTTGTCGCCTCTTTTCCAGAATCAGAAAATACCATTAGCACTATATTCATATCCAATCCATAGTATGACCTCATTCTTGAACCCCATCAAAACGTGATAACTCAACCCTACGACAATTGCCTGTAAGTTCCCTATTCTTTAAGCGAACTTAGCTGTCTAGTAAGACCTTAAACTAGTGTCCTATAATCAGTATAACTTCACTGATTTACAGAGACAAATACGGTTATTCCCACCGACAAGATAAAGGGTTTCGGTTAGACAATTATAACTACATGTCATGAAATTTAGCTGAATGGAATTTTAGTCTAGAAACCAAAACTGTATCTGATTTTTCAAACAGATTCACAATAACCGACTAAAACAATATTATCCTTCAACAAATACGATCATTTTTAGAACAATGCTCATTGTGTGAAAAACATCCTCCTGATTGTAGAGTGTCTTTTGCAATTAAATCAAAACTAATCGAAAATAATAATGGTTTATTATGCACGGTCATAGAAATATCGACTGATAGAAAAAGTCCAACTAGCTAAGAAATCATGTTTGTTCCATAAGTGAAATTCATTATAAAAGCTCAACCAATTGAATACATAGCGTCAAATTAGCAGATAAGAAATTGCAAATTCATGATAGCAAACACTCATTGGGTTGTTGTAGTTAACTCTAACCTTTGTTGTAGCGCTTTCCAGGACTTTTCAACTTGGTACTGCGAACATTCTGGGTCCCATTCTGTACTTAGAATTACATGAGCATAGTCGATAGGACTTTTCTGAGAACTATACTGACCTGCTTCAAACCAAGTGTACCCACCAGTCACTTCAGCAACAGCAGAAGCTTGTCGTGCAAGACGTTCTGATGCTGCTTCCGGACTTAAATTGTTTCTCTCACACAGCCGGCGCTGAGCTTCTGTTTGGGATAAAACTGTTAACCATACCTGAAAATTGAAACAATTTGAGGTTGAAATAGCTCAACACATTCTGAACGTCTTTGGTCAATTATGGGCCGTTCATCTATCTATTAGTCAATAAACGTGGCGACCCCTAGCAGGCCGGACTGTGTCTTGGATTCTGTCGTATGTTTTCCAGCATCAACTACTGAGTAAGTTGACATTTGCACTACATTTAGTGCTGAGTACCTGTAGCAGCACTCACATTTAGACCACTAATATAACGCCTATGTGTGTTTAATTAAACTGTAAACCTAGGGTAGAAGGACTGGTTAATTCTACTGTCATGCATTTTGGTTAGCCTCTTGCAAAAAACTATGATTCACATGATAAATCCTCGGAAAAGAGATCTTAGGGTCCCTATTATCTGATTACTACCATATTTCATGGTTCCGTATACGAATACTTTATTGCCACTGTTAAGACGATAATAACATACAATTTATTCAAGACACGAAAATATATTTACAATTAAACAACTTAAGGCTTCGGTTTCGATCCCCGACGGGGTCTTTGGTGCGCACCGTTGAGGAGTCAGTCCCATACTAGAATGAAACAGCTGTCCAGTCCTCCTTAGTCTTTAGTAGTTGTCTAAGGTGCAATGTTAATAAAAAAAGTAACCAATATAATGAATAGAACGTACCTCGTGGCACATTTCATCCCACCTAGCCTGTAAAAGCACCGCTGCATCGATAATAATAACCGGACGTTTAGGATCCCGATCTTGTTCTAGTGCTTTACATTCTATTTCTTTTACAACTGTTAGAATTTTTTTTAATATTTCAGGCCAAACTATGGAATTCAGATCTTTCAATTGAGCAGGATCAGAAAAAACTAGCCTTCCTAGTAGGCCTCTGTCTATTGCATAGGGTGGCACTGGAGATGCTATTTTTTCTCGTCCAAAATGAGACAAAAGAGCTTGGTGACAAGGAGTACCAGGACTGTAGATTCAAGCGACAAAAAAGCAATATCTATTTGAGGTATTTTTAAAACAAAATATTTGGAAATAATATAAACAGTGCCGATAACAAAAAAGTCACTACTAAATGAAACACTGATACTTCATATAGAAAAGTCAACTTCTTCAGGGGATTAATAAACCTATACAAAATAATACTGTTGGGAACTTCCAGGTAGATTGACATTCTTATTTTAATTTTAAACGAGGTATGGTTACCATTCAGAATGGATAGCTGTTCACTGAATAAGAGATATATATTGTCAGCCATTTTGTGAATGTTTCACAAACGACTGAATAACATCATCTGCAGGACTACATACACAACATCGGTAAATGATGCTCAGAGCGGAAGTCTGCTGGATGACATGCGTAAAATACGACCCAGTCAGCGAACCTGGTGTTTTAAGACGAATACATTTAATCACAATCTTAACACTAACCAACTACAACGTTGAATCTCGCCATCTGAGCAATTCCGTCAAATTAACTACGATAAAAAACTAAGTCATCAGCGCCCAGAGGGGGTATGTTTCACAAACAGGGTGAAGCTGCACGTGTTGCATACCTGATCTTTTTCAGATAGAAAAACGTCGTGACGGTACAAAAGGTGACACGAAATGGAAAAATTTTTTGCTTTCACTGCATTCGACTTGATCTTGTCCATCAAATTAGCCTGAGCAATAAAACAGCTACCTAGGTGCAAGAACTCAACTTATTCTGACGGTACACTACTAAATTTAAGTGTATTATACACTTATACCTAGTTTCTGCTGAGATACTCTGTTAAGATAAAATTAACGGTAAGGGAAAACTGATCTAAAAACCACAAACCTAAACATTAAAATGTTTTAATTTAGGAACCTTTTAAGTCTGACTATCACCAGTTTCAATTCACGGAAAATCAGTACACTGAAACTAGAGAATATTATCTGTTATGAAACACTATCAACCAACCTAATTAAAAAATAGAGAGAGAGTAGTTTTTTCAGTATTGTACAAGAAATTCTTTAAATCATTCAAAATTAATGTCATTTACAAGCACTTACATATATGCTTCATGACCGAGACGATCACAATCGATTACATGAACTTGGTCACTTAAATGTTCGAGTCGTCTAGCCAATGATGATTTACCAGAACCAGACGGCCCTGTTAAACCAATCAAATATGGACTACATGAAGAATTGTTTACAGTTATATTATTAACAGGTTTTAACAGACTGCCTAGTTCATTGAAACGAAGTTTTGAAGAACATAACTTTAAATCCGACAGGTCAAAAGGATAGGCTTTATATTCGTTGGAGATCCTGTTGAAAAGTAGGAAGTAATAGTATAAAAATATACCAGTTTAATAACAACAGTGTAACACAGACATATTTATTGATAATCAAGATACGTCTATATAACATAAGCTATAGATTCACAAATCACAAGAGCTGACTGTTAGAATCCAAGAGTAAGCGAAGGGAGCTCAAAAATATTATTTAATTTATTACAGCTTAATCTTTAGACTACTGAATCTCAAATTTGCTGAGTAATTCCACCAGAATAATAGATACATTACATAGGTGCGATAACAAAATGGGAAATTTGCACTGCAACGATTTGATGCTATGTAGAAGTCTAATAGTTAGGCCCTTAATCATTGATTAATGAGAAACTTACAAAATGAACTTTGTCCAGAAATCTATGATATCTAGTCGTTTTCTTGTATTACATAAAAATGATTGATTCAACTGGATAGCTGTCTTGTCTTTGGATATCAGTTCAATTGGTAGCTTACGTTAATAATTCAGTTTTGTCACTGTAACCATCATTCGGTCAATTCGTATCATTGTAGATTATCTATTGATCAGAATTATTTTTGTTTTATTTTAATAATCGAAAATTAATCTATCAAACTATAGAATTTTACGCCATAACACTACACTCGATTTAGATTTCCAGAGTAAAATATTCTGACAGCATCCGAAAAGAACGTACCAACTGAAATTGGATTGAGATTGCTCTCCCTCCCCTCACCTAATCCTTCATCCAATACAACAATGTAGCACGGATGTAAAGTGTTTTTAATAATGCAAAATTAGACTTTTTAGGAGCACTAACTACATAGAAATATTTTCAATAAAATTAAATTAAAATTCTGCATCAGATCAATAATTATTTGAGTAAAATCAAATCATATTGACAACCTTAAGTAAACTGATTAGATTTACGATAGCACTTCTTAGGTTTTTGTGCGAAGTTCACGATACACCTGGAGGTAGTACTTATTTTATTAGAAACTAAATAAGAATTGTCTAAATCTAGTCCAAAAATTGTTTACGTTTTTAAAAAAAATATCTTTTATGTGACCACATCGTTGAATGCGGCATGACAAGTGAGCAAACTTACAATAAAAACATGTTTCTGATGTAGGCTGTATATGAGCAAACTTGTGATTCAGGGCGGAGTGAATTATGTTTTTATGGATAAAAAAATATTTCTCAGAATAGAGGTTTATGGAGATCACAGTAATCTAATGGTTGAATTGATGTATCGATTTAAGTCAGACCATCATGGGAAACCTGGACTGGTTGACATCACACATTAACACCGTTGGATTCCGGCCCAGTAGTCTGGAGCTTAAGAGTTCGCGTGCGAGACCTAAGGCCTTGGGTCTGAGTCCCGCGTGCGGGATCATGGATGCGTACTGCTGAGGAGTCCCATACTAGGACGAAACGGCCATCCAGTGCTTCCAGGTTTTCCATGGTGGTCTAGCCTAAATCGAATTATGAATTCAACCATTAAAAAATATTTCCCAACTCTAAACACCCACCCAAATCATAATCACAGCTCTAACCCTAACCCATTTTCGCTTACTATAATAACTCAACATGGGGTTTACAATTCACCTCAAAAATACTTGTCCACCGTAATCTAGTTAATTTTTGTGTTGTAGCTACTGTTTTTTTATTAGCTAATAATGATTTCCTCAGGGTTGTCAGCACAATTTGGCTTCACCCTTCTTCCTATAGTCTCCCTTGATACTACAAAAGAGCCAACAAAGAAGTTAGTCTAATTGAAATAAAGTTCCAGCTGAACTTTTGCAACCGATCAATAGAGAATCATAGACCTAAGTACCGTGTTTTTAGAGAATGTTCAGTGAAATATACCTACATTTCAAAACCCACCCTTTCTATTTTGATTGATAGAATTTGAGAAACCAATACTCGCAACAGGAAACTGTGATTTGCACAAGTCAAGATGAGAGATAAACACGACAGATGAGAATTTGTTACATAAGAAAGCAACCAAAACTATATCTGAATCTATGCTGAGATTTTATAAGAGCAGGCCTCTATCATTTTACGATTTATGTCCTTATATAAATTTATAACCATGTGTCATATTTCATAAATGACTTGAATCAGAGACAGCCTTTCCATAAAAATGTTTTCCACCATTCATTTTTGGATTATTATTATTTACTTTTATTGATTTCCGACAGATCTTTTTTCTAAAAGTACATCTGATAATATTAAATCCATTTTTGTCCCCAGCATTTTAATGTGTAGGGTCAAAAAAAGCATTGAAAGTCTTCATCTAGTTTAAATCTTATCGAGACCACGAACAGATCTCAGCTACACAACGACTAAAAACCTGTAAGTACTGGATGGTCATTTCGTCCTAGTAATAGGACTCCTCAACAGTATTCATTTACGACAGGAAATCTGACCTAAAACCTTCAATCTCGTGCGTAAACGCCTAATCTTTAGGCTAATCAGAGAGATTTGATCGTGTACAAGTCCAAGTCAAATCAATTCAATTTAAATGTATTATTGAGATTTACTGTTGTACATATTCGAATAAGACGCTTTTCTGTAATTTCATAAGCATTGAAAAAAAGACACACAGTTAAAACAGAAATCTAAACCAAGTATATTAAACAGCTAAAAACAAAAATACATTGAATTTAATAAGTAGGTAAAAAAAAATTTGGAGAGGGAAAAAAGCATTTAAAATGTATGTTTAACTTACTCAGCTGAACATATAAAATTGATCACTTCAATTTTTAACGGCTTAAATCCATTCGCACGTCGTAATTCATTCAATTTTTTACAATTCTATTAGTAATGATATAAAGATTGAAAAATCCTCAGCATATCAGTGAGAAGCTTGTTATAAATAATTAATTACATATGTGTAAATTTTTGACTACCAGGTCAAAACTTTGTTTAGTTAGATGATTTGTAAACGTTTAGTTCGTTTCTTTCTGCGACGACTGACACCAGCTGGAAAGTTATTGGACATTAAGAGCTGAGTGGTTTTTTCATTATATCATTTGAGACTCCTTAACAATGAACAACCACAGCCCTCTTAACAAGACCAAACTCAAAACATTCAAGTCAGGTGGAGAGTAGATCATCTTTAGATCAGTGATCTAATGTTAATTGCTGAAGAAAGTTATTTTTCAAAAAATTTCCAACATTTTACTCCCCATAACGGAACAGTTTAATTGTTCTGGAAGGATCAATCGTAATTTAATATGTACCGAATTACGTTATTCAATAAAAACAATAGATTCCATCTATTATTACTATTAATGTTACTTGTCAAACAAAATATAATCGAGTGTGTTTTAATGTTTTCACTAGCAAGCATATATCGTTATACAATGAGCTGTCTTGCTGAACGTCAACGAAAAAACACTGACATAGTAATGAAAATATCAAGCTATTTTTAAGCAAATATAAGATCCATTTAATAAATATACGAACTGAGTTTCTGATGTTTATAGTAAAACTCGTTAAACAGTCGAAAATTCGTGAAACATTTGATGGCTGTATGTAAAGATAACACATTGAAAAAACATTGTATCATGTAGACTAGGAGTTTTAGTAAGAGCTGTGAAGACTGCATGAATGATGAAAAGCCAAGACAAACGTTAACATCCTACATTGATACAAAAATAGAACATTTGAGGTCTCTTGTGCTTTCTGATCGCCTATTCACTGTCTGAAAGATTGCTGATGTACATAATTAGAGAAAATATATGTAAATGGTTCTGGAGAAAAGCGGAACGATGAGGTAACTGAGTCTGATTTTTGAGGGTTTCCAAAGATGGTTTAAACAAGGAGAAAATAGATTAGAATACTTTATCAGCACAAAAGATGGAGTATTCTGAAGGGGATTATATTTATGCACCTTAAATTTTGTAAAGTACTTATTGGATGGAATAACAAATTTTAACAAACACGTTTTAAGTGGTGCCTGTCAAAGATAAAAAGCATATACGTGAACAATGTAAAATTAATTCCATTAAATTTTACTATTTTCCTTGCTAAATATGATTTTAAAATTAAATCATGGTAACAACCGACAAACATTACAAAAGTATTTTCGAGTAATTATATAATTTTTTTATCAAAAACAACTTACATCTAAAGAATCGGAGCTAGCTACAATACAGTCAAATTCTGCAGAATATCCAGGTGGACCAAATTTATCAGATAATTTAACAATTTTCATAATTTTAGACTGTACGCCTATATCACTGAGAAAAGTTTGAACAATTTTACTGCGCTTCTCCCAAGAAAATATCAATGGGCTAAGACATTTACTTGAAAGTAAATCAGAACATGTTACACCAACAAGCAAATGTTCTTTAGCCAACAGAGCACCAACGGTAAGTAGAATTTTATGTCCATAATGTAACCGATCAAAAGTACCACCAAGACATACACGGGAGATATCTTCATGTGATTCATCTGATGACGCAACAGTTATCTGATCATCAGTAATTGGTAGGTCTGATTCAGAATTATCTACACAGATGGAAAAGATGTTTTATTCACAAATATACATAACAAAAAATTAAAGCATGCATAAACACCACAAGGGAAGTATGACAGGGTCTTATATCCTGGAAACACAAGGTAGTATATACTCATGACCTGATTACTAACAAGTATATTATAAAAGATCTTACTTTAAAGATTGGTGTATCAAGACAGTGACAGGAATTTCAGTTGGCCATACACATTTAGACAACTCAATTTGAGAAAATCACCAACTACATCCTGAAAGACAACTTCAAAGAAAACCATATGTTTGAGATATCTTGAAGGGTTTTAATACTTAAGGCTTACAATGGACATTAGTTTTATTAAATGAAGCAGTATTCACTAGATGCGACGATTTGGTTGGTATGGTACACTAGTCGTAAAACCGACAAGTAAATGAATGAAAACCATATTGAGATGGTGGAACCGCAATTCAATGACTCTCACACTTTCCAAGTGAATCAAAGAAGTGAAACGCACTAGCCAACTCATAGTAAGCTTACAACATAAGCATGTTTATAGAATGAGAACTAAAAATCAGTGACAGAATACAAAATGACAGTTTATTTTTGAATCACTACACGGCATTTTACTCGTAATATGTAAACTGTTATTGAAATCTGTGACAAATATATATACTAAAGACTCCCATTGTGAAAATTAGAACAACGCATATAAGCGAACAATTGTTTTCAATTAGATCGTCACCAGGTTTTACTCTAATATACATGAATATTTATACGAAAATGTTAAACCAATCAAGGCAATATGGGTCAATAATCACAATGAAATAGAATAGGTCACCACACATAATAAGTAAAATTACAAGTTGATAGTAGGAAGAAAGGTGTACTGATAGTAGTAATAATAATAAAATACGATAACAAAAGTCTTATCAATAGTTAAACGTTGGAAATAGAAAGTCAAACGTGAGTAAATAGACTTGGAATAGTCAACACAAAACATGGCCAGTTATAACTTAACTAACGATATTTTTTCTTAAAATTATTATTTATTTATTTTATTCTATTTTTGTTATCATTAGCCTTATTTTCACATCAAGTATTTATTTGTAATTTTCCGCCTCTTGCCGTTTGTATTCTTCACTATCTAATTATTTACACACTTCTTATTACGTAATGATTTCAATGTTTTGTGTTGATTATTCCAAGTCTATTTACTCACGTTTGACTTTCTATTTTCAACGTTTAACTATTGATAAGACTTTTGTTATCGTATTTTATTATTATTACTACTATCAGTACACCTTTCTTCCTACTATCAACTTGTAATTTTACTTATTATGTGTGGTGACCTATTCTATTTCATTGTGATTATTGACCCATATTGCCTTGATTGGTTTAACATTTTCGTATAAATATTCATGTATATTAGAGTAAAACCTAGTGACGATCTAATTGAAAACAATTGTTCGCTTATATGTGTTGTTCCAAATAGATATCACCGAGCTTGTATTACATTAAATGTGGTAGAATTCGCAACTTTTAGAGATCTGTGATACGGTTTTCTGGACACTTTACTTTGAACCAGATTGCATTTAAGTCTACTTTGGCAAATTATATTTGATTACTTGATCAATAGTCACCCGACCGAAGCTGCTACCTTGACGCGGTGGTCGGGCTTGCCTATCGTGATGACCCAACCGAGCTATATTGGCTGGAACATATGTTCCTGTAGGTTCTACCATGCCAGGCAGGTCGATTGGAGAACGGTAAGACTAAAAGCAGCAACTCAAGGTCTGAGGGCGAAGTCGTACTGCTGACTGTAGAGGGGTGTGACAGCAGTAAGGTGTTTCCCTCGGACAACCAGCATGACAGCGATGCTGCCTTCCCACAAGGAGGGGTGGGGTTAGAAAAGGTCGACCCTAAAAATGTCACACCTCACCTTACCTCACGGATTTCCGTCTCCGGCGGTAAGGCCCTTTGAAGAACGGAGCTAACACGTTAAAAACCTTCCACAAAAAGGCCGTGCGCGACCGGCCTCAAGCAGTTGTCCCTTGGGCTCTGCGGTCACGCTCCCAGGTCGTCAAGACCAACACTAATCCAATTTCCTTTTCAGGTTCCTCAAGAAATACCCTTCCACGGTGTGGGCAGCCGGGAAGTGACATCAGCCCTCATACCCGTAACAGCACAGAGACCAAGTGGTCACATTCAAATCCTTCCTACACCTCCTAATACCTCTCTTATCTCCATGACTAACCCTCCTCACGTCTCTTTATCACCTCGCACCGCTAGGGCAAACGATTCGAGTACGTGGAACGCCATTCCTGGTCTCCTGAAACCACGCTCTAAACTACACGTAGGAGCTTTTAACGTACGAACACTGTGCCAAATAGGACAGCAGGCTTCCTTAGCTAAAACTTTAGAATCTCGCGCCATCGATGTGTGCTGCGTCTCCGAAACGCGCATACAGGATCCGAGTAGCGTCATTCATTTGACCTCACCATGCCAAAATAAAGAACCGACTCGATTTACGCTTCGTGTATCTGGAAGCCCTGATTCTGCTTCCCGTGGCCTCGCCGGCGTAGGTATAGCATTGAGTCCTAGGGCAGAACTAGCTCTCTTAGAGTGGATCCCAGTAGACAGTCGTTTGTGCGCTGTCCGACTGAACGGAACAGTAAGGATCCGGAAAGATAGGGACACTCGTCGTTGCCTCTTCGTCGTCTCTGCCTATTCTCCCACTGACTGCAGCTCAGATGATGTAAAAGATGAGTTTTACAGAAAGCTCTCCGACCTTCTCCGAAAAGCTAGGCGCTCGGATGTAGTAATAATGGCCGGTGACTTTAATGCTCAAGTAGGTAAACTAAGCGATAGGGAAAGACACCTAGGTGGATCTTATGGGTCGTGGCTCAAAGAACAGATAATGGCGACCGTCTGTTGCAGCTATGCTCAGATAACCGCCTGTTCCTTGCAAATACTAACTTTAAGCATAAGGAAAAACATCTTTTAACATGGCGACCCCCTAATTCGTCCCAACGTTGGACCCAAATAGATCACATCGCTATCAGCCACCGATGGAGGGGCTCGATAGAAGACTGTCGCTCATTCTGGAGCACATGCCTAGATTCAGATCATGCTCTAGTGCGAGCGCGTATTTGCTTGCGTCTTACTGGACGTAGGAAAGACGCTGCAAGGAAACCTCTTAGGGCCCTACTTAATGATAGTCAAGCTAAGAGTATATTTCAGGAACAACTAGGAAAACAGTTAGGCAGCCATGTATGTGATGCCCACCCCGATGCAGCATGGAATGATATCCGAAAAGCTGTGGAAACAGCAGTGATATCTGCTAGTAAGGTAAACCGTAAGGTTAGGGAGCAACACTGGATCTCAGCAGCATCTATCGCACTGATAGATGCTCGGAAACTCATTCCACCTGGCTCTGAACATAATGAAGAGCGGAGTCAGCTTAAGCGCAAGCTGACAAGAAGTCTACGCAATGATCGTGAACAGTGGTGGGTAGCGAAAGCAAGAGAGATGGAAAAGGCAGCGGCAATAGGTAATAGCAGACAATTGTTCAGACTTGTTAAGGAAACCGACTGTTAGCGAAACAATCTCAGAGAAAGATGGACATATTATACATTCTCAATCCAGGAGATTGGATCGATGGGCAGAACACTTTAGGGATCAGTTCAACTGGCCTTCAGCCACACTTCGGTTTCCCACGATCTCCAGTCAACCTGAATGGCAAGTTAATGTAGGTCCTCCGCCTCTTTACGAAGTTGAAAAAGCCATAGGAAATCTGAAACGAGGGAGAGCAGCAGGCCCTGACAGGTTTACTCCTGAGATTTTTAAGGATGGTGGTCCAGTATTAGCAATGAGATTAACTGAGGTCTTAGGTAGAATTTGGGAACTGGACGTAATCCCATCTGACTGGTCTCAATCACTGATTGTGCCAGTCTATAAGAAAGGACAAAAGTCCTCTTGTGACAATCACAGAGGAATCAGTTTGACTAATATAGTGTCTAAAATATTAGCTTCAATAATACTTCGACGCCTAACAAAGCTCGTGAAGAGCAGACTAGAGAAAACCAGGCTGGTTTTCGACCTGGACGTGGTTGTATAGATCAGATATTCACACTACGTCAGGTTCTAGAACACAGACACACATTCAGACGCCCCACAATGGTAGTATTTCTCGACCTTAAGGCGGCATTCGACTCTGTTGATCGTGAGGTTCTATGGCAGTGTTTGTCACTGAAAGGAGTACCAAAGAAGTACATTAACCTTATAAAGGCTCTCTACTCGAACACAACTGGTAGAGTGAGAGCTTATGGCGAACTGTCATCAGAATTGATTACCTCAAGTGGTGTTCGTCAGGGCTGTCCACTCTCTCCATTCTTGTTCAACTTTGTCGTCGACGTACTTTTAGAGATAACACTCTCCTCATCTAAATTTCCAGGGGTTGAACTTCTACCGGGAGGTTCACTTGTTGACTTAGAATATGCTGATGACATAGTTTTATTTGGTGAAGACGCTGACAAAATGCAGAGTCTTCTGACCACTCTAAGCAACAATGCAAGCATGTTCGGGATGCGATTCTCCCCCTCGAAATGCAAAATGTTGCTTCAGGATTGGGTTGCATCGACACCCGAACTAATGATAGGGAGTGAAGTAATTGAGCGTGTCGACCGCTTCACTTATCTTGGAAGTCTCATCAGCCCTTGTGGTCTGGTGTGTGACGAAATCTCAGCACGGATACAGAAGGCTCGACTAGCTTTTGCCAACTTGCGTCATTTATGGCGTAGGCGAGATATCCGTCTATCAACCAAAGGACGGTTTACTGCGCAGCAGTTCGTTCCGTCCTACTTTATGGCAGTGAAACATGGCCGGTAAGAGTAGAGGATATCCGTAGGTTACTAGTATTTGATCATAGGTGTCTTCGAAATATTGCTCGTATATCCTGGGACCATCGAGTAAGTAACGCAGTTGTTAGGAAACGGGTACTAGGTAAGGATGGCAAATCAATTGATGACGTAGTGAAACTTCATCAGTTGAGATGGCTGGGACACGTGTTACGTATGCCCAACGACCGACTGCCTCGACGTGCGATGTTCAGTGGTATAGGAGTAGGTTGGAAGAAAGCTAGGGGCGGCCAGACCAAAAAATGGCACAAGTCCATGAAGTCACTGACAAGTGGACTGAGTCATGTTGGTAGGTGTAGACTACCTGGTTGGGGACCGCGAGATGATAGCAACCGATGGTTAGAGACCCTGAATGACATGGCTCAAAATCGTTTGCAATGGCGCAGGTGCATACACGCTTTGTGTTCTCCCAAATTTTGATCTCCTTATTCCTCCTTGTCTCTCTTTTTTTCTCTTCCCAAATTTATTTCACTGTATTATACTCTTTAAATAACATCTCCAAACACTAATTTTCCCGATTACTGCTTATACTCTTATTACCTCTACCACTACGGGATTTGAATCGACCACTACATCTGTGTGCTAATGTGGTGTGGCAACTCGAACTGATGTACGTACGTACGAAGTTCTACGTTGTTACTGACTGACTGACTGATCAATAGTCAAATGGCGCCCATCATTTGAGATGGCATATAACTTGGTATTTTGTTAGTAAGGTAACAAAACTCAACTAATTACAGTACTTGATACAGCATCATACACTCTCTCTACTATAAAATAACTAAAACCACCAAAAGTTTACTTGTAAAATACCTTTCAATTTAAAAAAAGATTAAAATGTCTTGCCTATGGTAGCATACATAACACGATCACCGTAAAGTGGATTGATGTTGTGGGCTTCATTTAAAATCCAAGCGGGACTAAATTCAGATTCCGGTGAAATTACAATATCAAACTTTACTGAAGGCTTGGTATACTTGGTGGTAGGAAGAATAAGACAGACGTTTAGTGATGGGCAAACCTGTAGGTTAAATGAAATCATATTAGACATAAAACCAACCTTACATGCGGTTGTATAACACAACGTAGCCGTCCTTTTCCAAAACATAAAATCTGAAGGACTTCGTGGAATTGCTAAAAACAGCTTTTCATTCACCACATTGCTAACATATTTTAACAAAGAGAATAACTTCTGAGAGTGCACATGCGGTGACAAAATAAGTAAGCCAGATCGGTACATATTTAAAGATAATGGATGGTCCTACAAAAAAAGACATACTGTAAGTCTTAGTTAATGAAGAACACAAGCCTTACACATTTATGCAAACAAAGTAAGGAAAGAGATGAATAACAGTTTCACCGCATTCACATCACCGCTTCTATAGAGATCCATTAAATGAGATGCTACCAACCATTAGTAACTATTCTAACCTGGTTTTATACTCAAATAAAACCTAATAGGTAAGACTCTAATTTATGGACGAGCCAATCAGAAGCGTTTGAGGAATTTCAAAGTCACGGCGCTAAGTTCAATACGAGATGCTCACATTCGATCGTTTTACAGCAGATTTTAGAGAAGAGGTGATTTTTGAGCGACTACAACAGATGGGACTATTAAGAAGTTCCTGCATCTGTGACTGCGGCAATCAAATGACTGCAGCACGATGTGCAGACTACCGTGATGACATAAGATTTCGTTGTACTATATGTTAGAAGATAAAATCTGCTCGAACTGGCAATTTCTTTGCTCGATCACGACTCAGACTAAGGCGAATCATAATAATTGTTGCAAATTGGATTATGAAGTCACCAGTAACATTGGCTGCGGCTTTTGCAGATGTGCACCCTAACCCTAAACCCCAACCTTAACCCTAACCCCATGCACTATGATTTCAGGACATCTGGACCTTTGTCTAACCTTAACAAGTTTTTAAATCATGTAAAAGAAGAATATCCGCTGTAATTCATAGGTTTTTTTTATAATGTTTTCACTTTATACTAACTCTCTTCTGATTGTCTAATAGTTTCAGTAACACTTAAAAGTTCATTCAAAGGTCGTCCATAAAATATAGTCCTACCCAGCTCTGAAACATTTTAACGCTAACTCAACCTTGACCTTAGTTATAATCTCAAATTTAACCTCAGTCAGCTATAGCTTAGCGGACCTCCGTATCTAGTAGCAGTAGATCATGGATGCCTCCAGGTAGGAACCTAGGCATGTTAACGATGAGAAATTGGTAAAACATAAGGCTAATGTCCTTAGTCCTTAAGAATATGTCAAGTTTTCTCTTAAAAGACTCCTGGGAAGTCGCTTGGACTATCTCAGCCGGCAGCGAACCCCAACATTGAACTACTTTTAAGAGAGCTAGAAGTGTGTCTACAGTCCGCTCTGCTGTTATGTGCCTCCGTTTTCTAGGTGTTACCTCTAAGGTTTGTGTTGAGACTAAGGTGAGGTAGGTGAATAAGGAGATGTCCAGAAGTGTTAAGGATGATGCGGACACTTTCAATGTCACTCTAGAGTCGTTCATAAATTATAGCTCACAGGAATGACTATTATAATGCCAATGGTTCTAAGAAATTAACCCCCGCACCACCGAAACGAAGAAAGCAACTACTCACCCTACCAGCGTTCCACCTTGAGATTGAAGTTACCTCTCTTCTGTTCCAACGACCTTCAAATGATTCTCGACAGAATAGAAGAAGCTCTCGCTCAACGGGCTTCCATATCTCGTAGCAGTGGATCTTTGATGCCTCCTAGTAAGAACCTAGGTATAGTTAACGATAAAGTGGGAGGAAAACACTATTAAAGCATAGTGGGACGCTATCTCTAGTCCATAAATATATATCAAGTTTCCTCTTATAGAGATTCTGAAAAGCCGCTTCAAAGAGCCCAACCAGAGGCGAATTCCAGCATTTGGCTACTCGTAAAGGGTTAAAAGTGTTCCCATGTGTTGTGCCTCCAGTTCCTGGGTGTTACCCTGAAGTTTGGTGACGGGATATATCCAGGGGTGTTAAGGATGCTATTACTCATCTTCAGTGAAAAGTGATAAATCTGACGAAACTTCCTGTAGAAGGCCATTTATATAAATCAAGAAAAGAAGAGATCCTAGTTTTAAACCCTGACGGATCCCATTAGGACATTTTTAGCCCAAGTGAAATTTACCATGACCTTAAAAAGTCGATCAATTAGATATGAAGTAAGCCAATCAAGTAACGGTGGACGACACGGACTTGGAGAAAGGAACAAAAATGTTGAGAGATTTGCAAATCTATGTGCCTTCAATAAGCTGGTCATAGGCGGCACCATATTCCCACACAAACGCATTCACTAAATCACATGGACTTCACCGGATCACCCTACACAAGACCAAATCGACCATATTTGCATCAACAAAACGTTCAGGAGGACTATAGAGGACGTGAGAACTAAGAGAGGAGCTGATATAGCATCAGATCATCACTTGCTGGTCGCCAAGATGGAATAGAAACTCAAGAAGCACTGGACAACGGGGCGGACAATATCACAAAAGTTCAATACAGCCCTTCTTCAGGATACTAACAAACTCAACAACCTCAAGATAGTCCTCAGAAATAAGTTCCAGGCCTTTCATGATCTACTCAATGGAGAAGGTACAACTGTGGAGATCAACTGGAAGGGGATCAAAGAGGCAATCAATTCAACATGTCATGAGGTCAAGAAGCACCATCACAAGGAATGGATCACTGTTGATACACTGGATAAGATTCAAGAAAGGAGGAACAAGAAGGCAGCAATCAATGCCAGTTGAACAAGAGCAGAAAACGCCAAGGCACAAGCTGAATACACAGAAGTAAACAAACAAGTGAAGCGGTGCATCCGAACCGACAAACGTAAATATGTGGAAGATTTAGCAACGACGGCGGAAAAGGCTGCAAGAGAAGGAAACATGAGACAATTGTATGACACGACAAAGAAACTCTCTTTAAATCACCGCAAACCAGAGCGACCAGTGAAAAGCAAGGAAAGCGAGGTAATCATCAATACTGAAGAACGACGAAACAGGTAGGTAGAACACTTCAAAGAACCCTTGAATCGACCAGCCCCACTGAACCCATCCAACATCGAAGCAGCACCCATGGACCTCCCAATCAATGTTGGCCCACCAACAATTGAAGAAATCAGCATGGCCATCAGACAAATCAAGAGTGGCAAAGCAGCAGGACCGGACAACATTCCAGCAGAGGCACTGAAAGCAGACGTAGTGGCAACTGCAAGGATACTTCACATTCTCTTCAATAAGATTTGGGATGAGGAACAAGCACCAACAGAGTGGAAAGAAGGACATCTGGTCAAAATACCAAGGAAATGCGATCTCAGCAAGTGTGATAACTACAGGAGCATCACTCTTCTCTCAATACCGGGAAAGGTCTTCAACAGGGTATTGTTAAACAGGATGAAGAACTGAGTAGACGCCCAACTTCGTGACCAACAGGCAGGATTCCGTAAGTATAGATCATGTACAGACCAAATCGCAACTCTACGGATCATTGTGGAACAATCAATTGAATGAAATTCATCACTCTACATCAACTTCATTGACTATGAATAAGCATTTGATAGCGTTGATAGAACAACACTACGGAAACTTCTTCGACACTACGGCGTGCCTCAGAAGATAGTCAATATCATAATGAATTCGTGTGATGGATTAAAGTGATAATATGAAACTTCCTATAGACACGACACGTACCTGTAAAAGTCAGACGTATCAAAAAAGCAAGCAACACATGCCAACATGGGTAACGGAATGTCTGGAATGTCCTGACGATACATACCCTGAAAATTAAGTCAAACTCTTAGTGAGATGATTAATGAGCTAGTAGCATAGCTAAGCTTTTCATATTTAAAAGGTAGATAGTCAATCGTCTTTAACGGATGCAAAACTTTGTTAGAGTGAAGCTCTATGAGATATCTAAAAACATCAAATAATCTTGTAACAACGTTCAGCTGATAGTTTCTAGCGACTGCTATTGATATCGCCTTATCTATTCAGATGCCTGAATGTTCCATCTATAGAATTTAATCAGCAGCACATGCGACGGATCCTTGTTCTCAAGATATCTGGCGATGTTATGATTATACTTTGTTGTTGGTGGAATCGCCCAACAGTCAGGCGTGTGTGTTATGCGAAATGGCCCACATTTATCTGTGGCTTAGCGAGTATCTTATAAGACACTGCTTAACATATGGTGTCATTGGTAATATAACATATAGGTAGTGACTAAAGCTGTGCAACAGGAATAAATTGGTTCATTTGCATCAGTCAACAAAAGTATGATTTTAACCAGAGGTTTGATGTCTACTGTAGCGGTAAATAAATCCTCAAAATAAATAGCTCTGTAAGTTTTCGACATTGGATTCTGACCACATTAGTTTCAATGGACCCACCTAGCGGAAGGCGCTCGGTCATGCACCCGCACTAGGTCACGAGTGGGAACGCCGTGATCAACATCCCCTGCAATATCTAGCCAGATTAGATCAGTCGATCCACGACATATTGATAGCCTATCAAATAATTCTTTGAACCTCCTCGCCTCTGTCTTTTGATTTCACCTGGTGGGTACGCTTCATATTAGAAGATGTTACTGGTTGAGACGTTGTCAACCTCAAATACCTGTGGCATCTCCACCACTTACAAATGTTAGAATGCATGTCAAATTACATTTACCTCCTTACGGAATGTCCGGCAAACATGGGATATCTAAACTTATCTACTATAGCTATATGTAGGTAATTCTCGTCAGATATTTCTGTCTCTGAGGTTCTTGACATGAGATGCACCCGGAACTGTTTTAAAAGGTTTCTAACACATAGGAAAAGCATAATTCTCATAAGTGTGAATAACATGTACTCACTATAACCATCTACAAAGCAAAGAGATTTGTATAGAGAATTATAAATACCAGTTTGTTGCCTTCAATCGCTTGTCTGTTGTCGAAAGAAAACCTCAAGGACTCGGCGTTGGCAGTAAACAGTAAGGCTTTCAAACCATACATAATATCGTAAGTCTACGTTTCTTGGCTGTGAGTCAGTCCTTCGAGTGGCCTTACGCGATGAAGAGCACATCATAAGGTCGTCTAAGATGATCTATAAACCCCAACAAACAACTTAATGGTATCTGATCCACGGAGTAGGTGATTGTCTAACAGTGAAAAAAATTTAATTTCATACCCCTACAGTCTTCCAAGTCGTATCAGGCAGTTAAGGGAGAAATTTCACAATGAAATAACTGTTACGATGTTAAGAACACGAAGTCCGAATTCGCTCAAAATAAGTGTATAGTGAACTATCTGCAAGCCTTTCCAACTCTGTTTGCTGCGCTTAGCGTGCTACAGAAAAACGAAGTGTTGAGAGGACATTACAGATGGAATATTCGGACATCTGAAAGGAAAAGAAGACACCAGTAGCTGCCAATAGAAACTGTCTGCTGAATATTTCTACAAGGCTACTTGATGGTTTTAGAGCATTCAAATATATACTGCCTCGATGCTAGTTTGACACATGCACCCCGTATTTATTTATTTCTGCAAAGTACTTAAACTTCACTCTGCTAAAAGTGTTTTCTGAATCGTGAAAATCGACTTTAAACTGAATTTTCTAAGCGTTTAACCATATCCCTTAATTAGAAACAATGTGTAGACTTCTGAAAGCTATTCGCATCTTTAGGTAGGTTTATCATAACCGTTATACATTTGTCTTTTCCGCTATATAATGCCTTGAAAATATGAAGATCTCATTGTACTAATTGAATATGTAGAATCCTTATATGATTAATATTTTTATTAAACTATCCACTTGTAAACTATTTTCTGATTAGTTTACAACCTCATGAAATTCGTCGCGGTTATTATAACATTCGCCTCTAGGTTAGGCTATCGGCTACGTCTTCACCTGTCTTCGGACGTTTACAGAAGAATTCTTCAAACATCATCAGTGGATTTACTCCCAAAGCAGTTCTGTCTGTCCATTTGGTTGGTAAGTGGTATATATTGAAGTGTAATTTTCATTTCCAACTGAACTCTGACTGAATATTAATGGTTTTAGTGCGTGCTTTTTGGTACTCATCAATATATTATACAAGATATTTGACACCTCATCAAACAAATAGTAAACCTCTCAACAGCTCTGTTTTTGCTACTTTACTACTGTCAAACAGGCCATTACAAGTAAAAATTGTATACACATTATAGGTATGTAACCAATTACTTCTTCAAAACACTACTCATGCCTTGCGAAACCGAGTAACTATTAATCCTTTTAGTTAGTTAGTTTAAAGCAAGGAGGGCAAACTAACCGTTGCTAGCGTAGTTTATAATAAATCACCCTCATATATATGTAATGACGATTGAAGAAGAGTTAGGTTATGGGAAACTCCAGGGTGACTAGACCAAGGTTTAACACTTGTTCACAAAGTCATTGATCGTGTTGTTTAGGGAGATGAAGTTAGAGAACGTAGACTGAATAATAGGCTATGAAAGTATGTATAATTCCATTGTTTTTAAAATCTCAAAAACTATGGCTTTGTTGGTCTGTCCCTTCTGTATTTATACCATTAATTACTTCAATATATGATAAATAAAGTCTCATTTTTGTGCCGTTTCAGAGTACAGAATTTTTAGCCGACGCACCTTTGTGTTGCCCATAGTTCAGGTTTAAGACATCCCATCAAGTGAGGTTCCTAACATCTAACTTTCTGATTAAACCACATCGTCAGCATCTATTATGAAATATCAATAGTGCATTCAGTTTCCGAGGTAAACTTCATGAAGTTTCCCATCTTTCCTCTTATAATCCAGTAATTTCCAACCTAAGGATCATGCCCTAATCCTTGATTGCACGTCCAAGTCCCTACTGTTATACGCATTTAGTTGTATGTACTTCATTATTCCCCATCAATAAACCAAGAGGTCCGCTATTTGCTTTATGAAGAGCACATGTCAGAAGTTCCAAACAAAATCCGAATAACCGTAAATGAGGACGATGGTAGTAAGACTATTTCATTTTCCCACATCGAATTAACGTTAATATCTGTTTTAAGAGGTGAATAGTGGCTAGCAGTAAAATCTAGGACGCGCGTTTCGTCCTATTTGGGACTAATTAGTTGGATATACCTGCATTCTAGAGTCGATGTTCACTCCCGAAATTGGACCCAGTAATTTTATCTCCTAACATCGCGTTGTCCACTTAGCTACTGAGTCCAGATAGCCATTACACAAGCACATCCTGAGTTCCACTGATAGTCACCATCCGTTTTTGCTTAAAATGATTACGACTTACTAAAAATATCGAAGTAATCTGCACATAATACATACATACCAAAGAAGACTGATCCATTGTGGTCCTAAACATCAGTGAGAAGACCCAAACAACCAGTATGTATGAATTAGGGAGTAAACACATGTTTTTATCCGTGTAGAAAATGATTTTAAGTCAATATCAGTTGCTTATCAAACTTAACACACTTGATTATATCTGGTGTTTCCACTGCATATATAATAGATGATAAGTGGTAATCCGTAGTCATTCCATACATTTGTTTTGTTAATTTGTGTATTCTTTTCCTTAGCTTAAAACCGTACTGTTATTATTTTGTCGCAGAGTTTTATAATCTGGTTCCCAATATGGTTCAAAAATGCAGTGGTTTAAACCGGTTGGTGCATACATTGGTAAGATGTCTTTAATTACACATAAACATCCTTAGTCTAAGTTACGATTGAATGATGTGAAATTATTTTTAATTGGATTAGGGTTCGTATTTTTATTAAATTGGATTGTTACTTTATCGTGGATACCGAAATTTAAATGTTTGTCAGATGGTAGCGTGCTTCAGAGCACAAAACAATATTCCATATTTTCCTTAAGTATGTTTCCCTCATTTTTCTTATAACTTATCTACCATAGCTGATGTTAGTTATGCTCAAAATCTTGCTAATAAGATTAATATATATTGTTATATCCTAACGGAACCACAGTCACATCTAACCAAAGCTTATCATGTTCAAACAACTTGGGCCCGAAGGTGTACCCGTTTTGGTTTTATTAGTTCAAAAGCGGAAAAATTAATGAAAATGCTTGGTAAGTCACAAAAGCGATCTTTTTTTAATCATTGTCTAGAAAATTTTATCCATTTGTATGAAGGAAAGAAAATGTGTCATGTTCATAGGTACAAGAAGTTTATATTCCAAGTACTTGAATTCATGTGTAATAGCATTTCATTTTATACGGTGATCTACGTCAAACAGGAAATTTATATTAAAATGTAATCCGTCATTCAAAAGCGTAGAATTCACCTCCATGCATAGTCTGCTTATAAGTTATTCCAGTGACTAGAAAACCTAAGCAATTGGCTTTCTTGTGAGACCACTCCCCGAACCTTTGATATATAGGTCTAATCCACAAGACAGTGGAGTTTTAGGAGTTACAGTTTCGTAGTGGCCAATGACCAAAATAGGTTCAACCACCCTTGGTCATACTAGAGCATTTAGAGGCATTACTCTTTAAGACGAGTATACATGTCTAGTTGTCATAACTTTGATCTGTGGTTTTATTAGTCATAAAAAACATTGTTCAGTATAACTGTTTCACACTATTGTTCGATTATTTTTGTTATATCCCGGTGAAGATTAAATTACAGGTAACTTCCAAGGACTATTAATGGACTAATATTCTATAAATATTCTTATTGTATAACTATTCAACGATTACATTATGCAAATTTATATTCCTCTTATTATAAGCTTTATTTTGACCTATAATTTATTATTGTACGATTTACGGTTCTTAAGCTATGCTCAGTCTATTAATTACTGTCCCCCTCGTTCACAGCCACTTTTTGGCTTATTTGTGTACACATGTTATTTTCTATTTTATGGTACGTTGTGGTCTGTCTGATTGATATATAAACCGAGTATGTCTGAAATAAATGATCTGATTCGATTCATATTACGGAAGCTGGTATTGTGTTCTGGACTCAAGTGGAAGGGCTCGGAGGACATAGGACCAATAAGGACGCTAAACTGCCCACACCGGTTGAACGTCATTGGTTGGCCTAGTGTGAAGATTCGGATTGGTAGATAAATCGTGTGATAGAAAAGCCAGACGTCAAGGTCATAACAATTTTGTTTTCGAGAAGACGGCTGTTTGCGAAATTGAGAGGGCGAAAGGCGGATGTCCGTCACTCTAACCGGGTTGGTGGACACGGAGGGTCTACCTAGAGAAGTTGGAAAACTCTGATTCCAAACCAATGGTGCACATGAACTCCAGGATCGTGAGAGAACAAAAGGCGTGCGGACCTATTGTTGATCACCAGCTGTCATGGGACCGAATTTCTTAACGTTGCTCGATTGCCTTGTGGATTAGACCTTCAGGTCAAAGGCTCCGGGTGTTGACCCCCTAAGAAAACCGCATGCTTCGGTCTAGGCACCCGGGCAGTATCACAGCCCTCACACAAATAATGGTAGTTGCTACTGGCTTCATTGTTACTGTGTGGTGCATATGTATTTGGTGCTCCCTTGTACCAATGTTTATGTGTTTAAATAAAGTATTAAGCTCCCTATTTATTTACTTATAGCTGTTGATAGGACTCAAAATTATGTTAAACATTCTTGGATTTCAATGCGTGAAACACTTCGTGCATTACATAAACAAACTTACAAAGCAGCATATTTTCTTAAAGCTGATGATACGACTTATGTGATCATGGAAAACTTAAGGAATGCTTTAGAATACACAGATCCTCGTAAACCATTTATTATGGGTCACATCTATAAGGTTAGTCACTTAAAAACTATTATTGTTACCTATTTTTCAGTATTTACAGGGATTTTTATTGATCGTACTGTTGTTGTAAATTGTGTTCATGCAAGTCTTAAAAAGTTGTTACTTAAGATACTTCACAATGGTGATAGCTATGAATCTCAAGCAGAAATACCTCGACACCTACTTGAGTGTCTAAAAGGGTCCACGGTTACTGATAAGGACTTATGATTGCAATACAGTAGTCTCACTGGGCCCTTGCTGGTTGAGCACTATGCAAAGCATGCAAACTAATACTGCAAAATCAGTCATCGATGTCCATGAGGCTTACTATAGACCTGCAGTTGTGTCAAAACTTTCACCACCCCTCTGATTGAAGTTTAGTTGTTCTTGGAGTGGGAAGCTACAACTCAGGACGTCTTACGTGTTGTGAGACTTCGTGTATTGTACTGAGCCATCTGCAACGCAAACTTCTCCCAGGTTGTATCGTAAAATTAAATTTAGATGAATGATATAAATTTCTAAGGAAGCGATACCGATAACTCGAAATCTGATCTGGCTAATTGAGCGATGAATCCATTAGGAAAGGCTAGTTGCTCTACTACAATAAATATTTGAATGATGATGATGATTTCACAAGAAGTAGCGACCCGTTCTTAAGCAGTTACATGTGAATCACCATACATTAATGGTTTGAGCAAGGGTATATATAGTGTTGATGAATTAATCAAAGGATTTTTCGTCTGGTAAGCTTCATGATTAAGTGAGGTTATGGAATGTAATATGCACTTAAACAGATCTAATACAGTGGTCGGGTTAAGTCAACACTTTCAGCACCGACAACCTCTAAAACAAACGGGATGCGGCAGTCGTTATATATATATATATATATATATATATATATATATATATATATATATATATATATATATATATATATATATATATATATATATATATATATATATATATCAGCCTGATGCATTACAGTTATTGCACTTACACAAAACACATTTTCTGCAGAACTTTTCTCCGAAGGATAAACAGTATTTCTGATACAGTTTATTTCCATGACCCAATAGTACAGCTCTACTTTGAAAAAAAAGCGATTTTCTTGTGTATTGTTAGATTAAAATTCATTCACCATAGATCAATGTCCTTATGGTTTGAACAATAATCTTTCATCCATTTAGTTATACGTTCGAATCCAACTTCACCCACTACAGCTTAATTGTCTGCGTAGTATCGTTAGCCTTCACGAAAGTGGTATAGCTTAAAGCCGAATAAACAAACTTGTATTTGACTACTTGCATTATTAATTGTTAGTCCATTAGTTTAAACAATTAGTTTGAAGACTTTGGTTTTGTAAGAGAATTCCCATTCTGGTTTTTTGTAGATAGAAACAATTATGGATACCTATCAATGATAAAACTACACATGTTTGTTCATACTCCTCTCAAACTAAATAGCGCTTAAGTATCACCTATGGATGCAACCCCGACACATTCCATTGTTAGTTAATGTTTTGTCACACTTTAGCCTTTAAATAACTTTCTCGACCTAAGAGAAAGTTTTAAAAAAAAACTAGAATTCACCATTTTACTTTGCTTTACTAAAGACCTCTAAGAACTATTTTTGCTATCAATCTAGGTTTCATGAGGAATTCATCAAAATTGAGTCGAGATTCCTCATGATAAATGTGAATAACCGACACTCATTACCTTTTGATAATGTAGTTCCAGATTTCCTCAACCTTATCTACATTCCTTTACTTGTACATATATAAAGCTTGTTGTAATTAATTGTTCAGAATTCGTCAGTTTCTTATTGTATACAAACGTAACCTATCATCTAAGTAAAGTACATTACACTTTTTCTACTTATTGAAATATGTGTTGTTTGAAATTTATTCAGAACAATCATCATAATTAATAATAATACTTTATAATGATCGTCGTCACACTTAAAAATATCACCTTTATAATGTTCTGATTTTGTATTTAGATGTTTGTGACGATTTCTTTATTGTTACAAATCTAAACAGTACTTTGTCTCATAATTAACTGTTAGTTCGAGTGTTTAAATGAGCTAAGTTCATCTTGTCAGTTGCTTGATTAAAGTCAATACATATACAGATATACTGTTTGTTTGTTTTTCGGTTCAGGTCTAAATTAAAGTGAAACACTTATTCTCTCTCTCTCTCTCTCTCTCTCTCTCTATATATATATATATATATATATATATATATATACATATATAGGACTCCTCAGCAGTGCGCATCCACGATCCCGCACCACGCGGGGCTCGAACCCAGGACCTACTGGCTTCGCGCGCGAGCACTTAACCACTAGACCACTGAGCCGGCATCCAACGGTGTTAATGTCTAACTTCAACCAATCCACGAAGTTGCGCCACCGTACACCATTGTCTTCAGTGAGTTGTTATCTCACAACAGACCGGTTGAACTCCACTGGTAACGGCTTCTCACTAGAACTTCAGGAGTTTTTCCTGAAGTCAGTCACTAGTGAGCAGTTGATTATTATTATCAGAATGGGTTTTGTGGAGAATTTTAGAATTTTCACAGTTTTTTGAAATCATGAGTCAGTTGAAGCTAGACCACCATTGAAAACCTGGAAGCACTGGACGGCCGTTTCGTCCTGGTATGGGACTCCTCAGCAGTGCGCATCCACGATCCCGCACCACGCGGGGCTCGAACCCAGGACCTACTGGCTTCGCACGCGAGCACTTAACCACGGTGGCGCAACTTCGTGGATTGGTTGAAGTTAGACATTAACACCGTTGGATGCCGGCTCAGTGGTCTAGTGGTTAAGTGCTCGCGCGCGAAGCCAGTAGGTCCTGGGTTCGAGCCCCGCGTGGTGCGGGATCGTGGATGCGCACTGCTGAGGAGTCCCATACCAGGACGAAACGGCCGTCCAGTGCTTCCAGGTTTTCAATGGTGGTCTAGCTTCAACTGACTCATGATTTCAAAAAACTGTGAAAATTCTAAAATTCTCCACAAAACCCATTCTGATAATATATATATAGTTTTTCACAATCGATTTCATTTATGTTCATTGTAAATATCCATATTGTACCATCTTTGATATTCAGTACTGAATCCGATAAGTCTGTTTGCTATATGGACTACTTAAACTGAAACTTCGTTTCTGTCTGCATTTACGGGTTAATTATATTTTGAATAGTGGCTAGCAGTGGCACCCATATCGCGCATTCCGTTCTATCTAGGACTCGTTAGTCGAGTGAATACGCACCCTGGTGTTAGTGCTCACACTGAAACTTAGACCAAAACCCAACACTTTCTCATTGATTCTACTGAGAAATTATAGCTACAGACTAATTCAACGAATATAATATTTGTTGGTATTTGTAATGATCTTTGTTTTCCTGTCATTGGTATTCAGGGCTAGACTTAATCATTCTATGCTGACATATGACTTCCTTGACCAAATGTCTTATAATTTCCTATAGTTTTACTGTTTATCATACTTTTGGATACTGACTGGCAGTGGAATCCGGGACATCATATTTTAAACCATAGACAATTTCGTGGTATCTTCCTATGAAGTCTGTATGCCAATAGAGATCGATCCAGTTCAATCTGGAATAACACCAATCGGAAAATACAAACCTATACCAAATAGTAATACTAGGAATAATTGTCTCCATTTTCATCCTTGTAGTTATTGGCAAATTAGTCATTTGGCAGTAATTTCTATTAAATACTACTTTTATTATGTAGCAGACCATTATAACACTTGCTAAATTAGACAGCTATATCATCTAAGTGTGGGACCTCGTAAGCCCTCGCAAATCTCGGTTATAAGTACTGGGCTTCTTCAGGCTTTGCATTGCTGAGGTTCAACAGTGTGTCTTCGGGTTCGGCGATGATAATTTAGTTAATTCCACCGTCTGGAAGCGCCAATTCCTAGGCCTGGTTTTGTTTTATAAGTGCCATCTTAGCAACTTCTACATCTTACATTATTTATGAACACTAGAAGCGGAGAGACGATCGGTTTATGACATGTAACTACTATGAAAGATGGCTGTATGAGACTATCATTTGTTAGTCCATCATGGTTATCATTAGCCTTCACATTTCGAATGTGAATCATTCCCAAGTACCTGACGCATCAGTTATTTGAATTTTAAATACTGTTAATGATAATACGTGATACTATATAAAAGTATGTTTCAATGAAAGTTAACTCATTTAAATTATGATTACTAGTATTTCTGAATACTGAATTGTGCGTGTTCAGAGCATTCTTAAGGTTCTTTAATTTCTCTCTTTCCAACTTTTAGTTGACTATTTCACTTTAAAATTTTATAACTATGTTAAACTAACATTCGTTCAAGTTTTACAGTTTGATAGTAAACTCCGAAATTTTCGTTAATCTGTTAATTTCATGCTCATTTTCTGTTACGCTGTATGAGTGTAACCTTTCTTTCTTAACTTGAGTGTTTTCTTCGTCAATATTTAGTTTGGCGATAATAATACTAACAGTTCAGTTTGTAATGGTTTTCACTGTCCCGTTAATATTTTATTAAAACCATAAACCGATCATTGTTAGACCACAATTGAAATCCTAGAACCACTAGACGACCTTTTTCTCCTAGTGTGGGACTCAGAAGTGCACATCGATGATCTCACATGCGGAGATCGGACCCAGGACCTTAACCTGTGGACTACTGACCCAGGATTCAATGGTATGTGTGCATCCTATGCAAATCACCTCAGTATATCGAAAATGAGATGACCTAAACCACCAAAAATCAGATTAAATCCTATACCCGTTGCACGAGGTGCTATTTGGTTTTAGTAGCTAAATTGATAGCTCTTCGGGCGTTTGAAGCGAAAGTCCGGGGTTAACATCAACTCTGGAGCACAGGTACATCCGTCTGACAGGTAGCAAATAGGATTAAACGCGCGTCCTTGATTCTATTGCTAGCCACAACTCATCTCTTCGACGATAATAATAATGCTGATTTTCTAAAAAAGCTTTTTTAATACTCCATTTATCTAATTATTTAAGATCCGTCCAAATGAATTCACTTTATCTGGTAGTTTTGGCTACGTCCTATCAAGATCTGCTCTCGAATTAATTGTTTTGAAAGGTTTAGACAAATTGGCTGACTGTGGACCAATTCAGCATGTTCGTGAAGATATTCAAATATGTAAGTAGGTTTTTTTAGTTATTTGGTTAAAATTAAATGCAATCCACTGGACTATCTAAGCTGGAAGGAATAGCAAACTCATACTCTCCGGTTACATGGAATCTAACTAACTAGATGCTGGAAACCATAGGTAACTACTGAGCTCTAGTATAATGCTAATCACGAAGTTTGTACATTTTGATTTATATCTTTAAATGATTTAAGGATGCTAAGTGGATTCACACAAAAGTAGCAAACACCATGAAATGAATAACCACCAATAGGCAACAAAATTCTCCCTGTGACACTGAACCATCGGAATATCGCCGTGACGACTCTTTACATGTGACCGTAAATAATCATCATTTAACAAAAATATAACACTATATACATTAGAATAAAATAGATGAGCGATTTCCTCTGATTGCTCCTGTAACAGAATAAACCCAGCAGTAAGATTTTTCACCCAGATTGCCGGCATGTACTCCACTTCTAGTCCAATTTTCTTACCAGGTCCCTCAAAAACAAAGATTCTTTCACAGCGTGCGCAACTGGGAATCGACAGTCGCCCTCATATATCTAACATCACTCGAGACCACCTTGCTCACGGTAGCTGTTCCCCAACACAAGTCGCTCAAACCTAAGTGCTTGACGCTAGTCCGAACTTTAAAGATGACAAATCTCACGAATATCCCTTCTAACATTGTTGGAAGACCTAAGTATTGAACAAGCTTTCTGATCTAAGTCTCTGCTTTGAGTAATTTTATCCAATCTGAGTAATGGAACAAAAGGTGAGAAATGCTTTGGTTCTAGTAGATAATTGCTTGAATTCGATATGTTCGGCCATATCTCCCAAATACTCTGCAGAAATAATCGGGTTTCAGTCTCTTAAGAAGGCGGGACCATCGAACCAATCTTTGAGATCAATATCCTTCCGTGCACTTAGTCAAACTTAATCTGTTGAATTTGTTCGAGCTTTATATAATATTCATGAGTACTGATAAGTCACAGCTATTTGATTTACTAAAAAAATTACTATGCTTGCATACTGTGACTCCACCTAGCCAATGCATAAATCCAACTCACTCTTGACACATAGTGGTGCCTAAAGTGCTAAGCCATTGATCGCGACTGGGCTTTCCAAAGGCTATTTGGCTAGAATATATATATATATATATATAGCCCTCATTTTATCTCTTGTTTTTTAAAACAAAATTTTAGCTAAATGTGCAAAAGCATTAGGCATAGAATTCAAAGATAGTATTGATATGTTTGGAATGTCACGATTCAGTAATGTTACTATAAACAATCTTTTTGGAACATTCAATAACAGTAATAATAATAGCGGAACGATTCAGTGGGATCCAATAAAAACAGATTATACACAAGCAGTGTATGATTTAAAAAAAGTAAGCATTAAAAAATTTGCATAAAATAGCCTCTTTTCTTTATCTGTGTATCTACCCTTAAATCAAATATCGGTGTGGGGGTCATAAGATTGTTGAAGTTTATTAATTTAAGTTAGACAACCAACCGTGTCAGGTGGGAAGGAGGTACCCACCGAAAACAATGAAAGATGGTCGCGTAATATCGCGGATTGATTAAAATTAGACATATACACCATTAAGTCCCGTCCCAATGGTCTAGAAGTTAAGCGTTCACGCGTGAGATAAAGGTTCTGGGTTCTATCGCGAATGGTGGGGTCATGGATGTGCCCTTCTGAAGAGTTCCATACTGGGACGAAACGGCCGTCTCCGTTATTATATCCTAGTGAAGATTACATTACGAGTAACGTCTGAGACATATCAATTGACTAATATTATCGGTACATTCTTATGGTATAACTATTCAATAATTAGATTATGTATATTTATATTCCTCTTATTATAAGCTTTATTTGGCCCATAATTTATTATTATATGATTTACTGTTCTTAAGCTATGTTCAGTTTATTGACTACTGCCCTACTACAAATTTTATTTCCTATTTGATGGCGCGTTGCGGTCTGTTTGTTTAATATATAAACACAGTATGTTTGAAATACATGATTCGCATATTGGAAGCTAGTATTGGTGTTCTGGACTGAAGTGGACGGGCTTGGCGGACATAGGACCAATAAGGACTCTAGGCTGCCCACACCGGTCGAACGTGATTGGTTTGGCACAGTGCGAAGATTGTATAAGTCGTATTTTGATTGGTGGATAAATCATGTGATAAAAAGCCGGACATAAAGTGACAACATCGGTGCTTCTAGGTTTCCAGTGGTTGTCTAGCTAAGACTGGTTAGTAATTCCTACCATGATTACAGTTTATTTATGAAGAAAAAGTATATCACCTTAATTCTAAGTCGCTCGGTTATTAAAATTGAGAAACTCCATCTGTGGTGTTTCATTTAAGATATTAATCACGAGTTTCCATATATTTGATAATATTCATTAGAATCGGAGTATAATAACTTTCCTGTAAAGGCACTCAGTGAGTTTCTGATTCCTACTGTCCTCTCTATCTATTTAAATTAAAATACCAGGTGATGATATCACCAGCACTCAAACCCGTGTATATTAACCCGAACTTTATGGTCGAGTTAATATATATAAGCAACTGAACATCTCTATTCCAGTTTATCTTCATTTTAACAGAATCTCTATTTTTTAATACTCACTTGTGTGCTGTCAAAACATTAACTTCATCTAAGTTTGAGTAAATACATCATTTTACCATGTTTTCACATATTGATTCTCTATTTAAAAGATATGACCTCAAATGTTTTAATCCACTTCTTTTTTTATTTCTCTCCCACTCACCATTACCATCCATTTAACTGAATTAAGTTACCTGCAAGTCCACTGCTAATCAGTTTCGGTGGTTTAATGCCAGTGAAAATGTACATTTTAGAATATTTAATCTATCATCTTCGACCAGTTGGAATAACGCATCGAATTTTACAACATCTACCTTATTCATCATCATCTGCAATGAATCGTTATCATCAACAAGACCATAGTACATAATAATCTATATTATTATTGTCGCAGTGATTTTTATTATTTGCATAATATGTATATGATACTTTCTTGTCTAAGTCATTTTAACTATTTGTTTGTTTAATCTTTTATATTTTTTTTTCATTGTGATCAACATATAAACATTTACATATCACAATTTTTTAGCAGATTCTATCTAGTTATTTGTATTCCATATTATATATTTATAAACAGATATATATATATGTGTGTAAACTTATTTCCGATCATAAGTTCAATTGCCTTAGATTCTGTTATATTTTTTATCAATTAAAACACTGATCAACAAAACAATGTAGAATGTGTAATGAATGATGCTTAGAATATCAGTTTAATTGAGATTTTACAACTTATTATTATTATTACTATTATTAATAACTTTTTCGTAAATCTTATGGTTATTTCACCTTCCTTTTATTCATTTATGCTCATTTGGTTTTTTTTTTTTTTACTTGATCATTTATTTATTATTTATTAATAATAAAGATGTTTTACCAACTTCTCGTGTCTATATATAACTGTTATGATTGTGGGGTAGAAGGTTGCCAATAAAAAAGACTTTAGAAATTACTCTCTGAAGATACACTATATACTTTGTGAATTTGTATTTTATTCAACATATTTGACTTGTGATCTTTATGTTGTCAACATTGTAAACTTCTATCTAACTCGATAATTGTTACAATATGTTTTATTGAAATGATGAACCGAGCAATGGTAGATAATCACTAAAAACTATGAAACACTGAACGGCCGTTTCGTTCTAATATGGGACTCCTCAGTAGTGCTCGGACACACACTCCCACGTGAGGATCGTCAAGATGGTCGCACAATATCGTGGATTGAATCAAGTTAAACATTAACATTGTTGGATGCCGACTCAGTAGTCTAGAGGTTAAGTGTTCTCATGCGAGACCGAAGGTCCTGAGTTAAATTTTTGCATCCGAGGTCGTGAATTCGCATTTCTGACGAGTCACATACTAGGAAGAAACGATCGTCTAGTCCTTCCGGGTTTTCAATCATGGTTTAACAATGATCGGCTCATGATTTGACTAGTTGGACAAGTACAGTAAATTAATCATAAACCTTGATGGTGGAAGCTGTCAGGAAAAAATAAAAATGTAACTAAATTTAGTTATATTATTTAGGTAATGGAGTTTAGTTCACTGATGTCATAAGTTGTACACATGCATTAAATTGCTGATTAGCTTTTGTCAAGTGCTTCCCAGTTCAATAGATTCAGATTTCGTCTCATGTGGTGACCTCCACAGTTGACTTATATTGTCATTAACCATCACTGGAGGAGCTCGTTTATAGACATGCTTATTCTTGAGCACATGCTTAGACTCGGATTATGCTCTAGTTTTAACACGTATTTGGATGTAATACAGCCACAACTTAATGACGAAAATGTCAAGAATATGTTTCAGAAATAACTAGAGAACAAGTTAGTCAACTGTAAAAGTGATATTTCCCGAAATAGTTTTATATAATATGCAAAAAGCTGTGAACTATCCGAGTTTTCAAAGCGGTATAAGGATCTAAACAGATATTTGAGTGTCCCTATATTATTCGTAGTTGAGAATAGAGATTTAAAGTAAGGATTATGATTTTAGAGTTAGGGATTTGATCCCGAACTAACATCAGCTATAAGGCCAAAACGTCGTAAATCGACACAGGTGGATGAATTTTTCCAAAGAATCTAATAGGTACATTCAAATTAAATCGTCCAAGAAATTTAGTACCACCAGGGTAAGATTTGTTTGAGAGTTAAGGGTTCAGAGTTAGGATTTATAGATAATATCGATTTTCCGCAATATACACTATAGAGAAAGAATTTAACACTTGGTGTATTCAATTGTAATATACCAGTTGAAGCACTGAAGTCAGGCATAGAAGTAACTGCAAAGATGTTCTACATATTATTTAGAAGAGTTTGGCAGGAAAAACAGGTACCGATAGACTGGAAAGAAGGATAACATCAACATACCAAAGAAAGGAGATCACAGTAAGTGTGAGAACTACAGAGGCTCAACATACACAAGGGAACAGCAGGATCCTCAAACACAACGCGGAGATAAACCAACCCAATCACACATGATGGAATAGTATGTAAAGAGGTAGAAACTTCACGCACCTGCACAGCATCACCGGTGAACTTTCAAAATCTGACGCATATGTTGACTCAGGGATTGCCAAAGCAAGATCGGTATTCCTACAGTTGAAGAACATTTGAATCTCGAAACAGCTGTCAGCCAACAGCAGATTCTCAACCTTCAATACGAACATCAAGACAGAACTATCACAAATATAATAAAATAGTACATATATTTACGAAAAATTGTCTACGGCGGGAAACCATCAGCAACAGACCATTGTGGGAGAGAAAAAAAACAGATTTCATCTGAAGAAATTAGGAAAAGACGTTGAAAGTGGATAGGACATACACTACAGAAATCACCAAACTGTATCACAAAGGAAGCCGTAACTCTGAGTCCTGAAGGTAAAAAGAAAAGGCCAAAAAACATTACATCGAGAAATAGAAGCAAATATGCAAAAGATGAATAACAACTGGAAAGGATTGCCCAGGACAGTATTGAATGGAGAATGCTGGTGGGTGGCCTATGCTCCTCCACGAGCGTAACGGGCGTATTTGTGTGTTTAATCGTTCAATATAATTATAACCAAGGCTGGATAGTGTCCAGAAGTGGAATCCAGGACACATGTTTCATCTTATTTGAGACTCGTCAGCTGGATGTATCTGCATCTGAGTTCATGTTCACTCCGTGTCTCGAATTAGTACCGTTATCCAATAATATAATTGTTTTAAATTCCTAATAACGAATATTGCATTCAAATCGGCAAGAAATTCCCTGTATTTCAATACAATTAAGAAAGACATTTTACTATTTTCTGTTTTTCCTAATAATTTTCAGGGCTTTAGAAATAAAATTTCCCAATTAAATTTGAGTAAATCAACCTTGCTACTTATAAGTAGTTAACCATTATCAAAATATCTTCCGATTATTCACTGAAAGCTTAAAGTATTTGACACATATATTGTAGGGCCAGCGAAATGTCACTAAGCCCTAGCCAAATCATCCGGCAGTTGGGTCATTGAATATCGAGCAAATCATCAATCCTCGTCAAAGTCAGGGACAACCAACGCGCACCAGTTAATCGTATGCCATGGACTGGCCCATGCGGCAATGGTCTTACTTTCGCTTGTATCTACTTTAACTAATATATTTCTGTATTAACGTCCTCTGTGTTGTACAGTCTTCAAAGCATCTATGGTACATTGATACGTCAATGGGGTAGTCCACGTAAAGCTCTGACCACGAGGTGTGACTTCGACGTTAGCTAGTTTGTCACACCATTTACGTCTAACTCGAGCAGGCCTCCAGTCATTTCGACATAGATCATCTACTTTGATCTACAATATAATCCGGTTGCAACAAATACGATAAAACGATAATAATGTGATGATCATAATAATATTATTAGTTAGAATAACGTAAAATGATAATAATCACAAAACTAGTGTTGAGAAAGAAAAATATTTAGTATATATGTTGTGGAGATTGTTGAATCTGACTTTTTTTCATCACAGTGGAGTCCAACGATGTCGCATGTGAAGTATTTACCTTCTAATGGCACCTAAATGTGATGACATATTATCGAGAATCTCTCGTAGGCTACTGATGTCTTCTTTTCAAACGTAAAGGTTGTGGGGTTGGACTTCTGAAGGATTGCATACTACTATATGACAGATATCTAGTGCCTTTTGGTTTTCAGTGATTGCATAACTAAGATCAATTCGCGATTTAAACTACAAAAAATTTTTTTTTTAAGAGATGTATAACTACTCTACAATAGAGAAATACAATTTTTTAAAATTAATTTTACCTAATATATATCAACATTCAGTATATAACAATCATTACAATATAACAACTGAAAAGGCACAGGAATTTGAAGACAAAATATTGAGAAAATGCAAAACAGTATTTCTTTATAAAATTTTTCTTTTCATAAAGTTAACTACAAAAGCATAGTGATCAAAACTCTGAGTCACATATTGTCCAACAGTGTAAATTTTACAACAAATTTGACTGTTTTACTATTATTTCAACCAATTAATTATGGGAATAAACCGTATCATATACCGACATGCCTAATAACAAATGAGAGTTATTTACTTCGTAAATCATATGCCTAATACATATATTAAGATAGAAACAAAGTGTCCGAACTAGTCGAAAACATTGACGGACGAAGATCACTTCTAACTAATTACAGTTCAAAAGATTTTAAGGGATATTCTTTAATATTTATAATTTAAACACATAAAGGATAGGAGTTTTTTGTAATGTTGCATATTTTGAGCTGACAATTATATATTATAACTACATATATTATACTGAACAAAGGGAATACTGTTTCTATTATCCGGTTGTTATACTGAAAAGGAACTTCTAGCATGGTAAATAATTCTCTCATTCAACATTGATTATGGATAACTCACATAATCTATCATTTCGGTGGATTCTAATCTCTCAATTGAATGGGCAATTGATCAAGAACAACCTGTAATTAATTTATTATCGACTTAGTTATTTTCTTTATGAAATTTCTCTTCTACAATACTTGCCCATCTTTTGCGAGTCTGTTTTATACTACTAATTATAATGTAGTAGTCTGCGTTGTCTTGATTAATTAATAAAAGTATTCATAGCTGATACCCAGAATTGTTGCTACACTTAAACCCAAAGTTGGTTTCTTCACCATCACAATAATCAACCTACCAAAGTACTTTTGTCCATTCCATTAGTCAGTTTACTTGATGTAAAAATTCTCTACACAAAGTGAGATGAAGTTATTGTAAATAAAATATTAAAGAAAAGTAATTTATTTACCATGCACAGATTCGAGTACTTATTTTTTGAGCCACATTTTACGTGTATTTGTGGTGCTACCCGGCTGCAAAAATAAGAGATGAAAGCTGTCTCAAACCAGAAATTCGAACCCCTTAACAAATGTCCCACTTCACTTCACGAAGAGAAAAGTGATGTAATTAATTTAATAGTATGCATTGGAAAAACAGTTTAAGAGAAAGGTGTAGGTTAAGCTCACTTAAAAGGTCCATCCTAAGTTCCTTAAAGGATATTATGGAAAACAACAAAAAGATTGCAACGAGTTTCTATTTTGAGCCATGTCTGATAACGTGCCGATTCACCGTAAAATCTTTGAGAGACTACTTGTGGACTCGTGAAAAACCAATAGGTACCAATTGAATAAGGTCATCCATGTAACAAAAACTGATCATCTCAGTGACTTACCATCCAGTCCCAGTTTACAATACAGAAACTTCTAAATGTTCATACCACAATGGTAATACTACCTAATCCATTGTCAGTGTCTGAATAAAAACTAGTAGTCTTTGATATCAATTACGGAATATTTTCGCAAGAATTTTGGAAATACTGAAGATTTATT